TAGGATTAGGAGGGTTAGGGGGGTTAGTAAGTGTTAGCTGGGTTTAGGGGATTAGAGTGACGGAGGACGTTGCCAACGCCCTGATTTATGTGACCGGGTGCGGACGCCAGTGGGCGAAGAGGTAAAGGGGAAAGGGGTTAGGGTTTAGGAATTAGGGTTTAGGGTTATAGGGTTTAGGGTTTTGAACACCAAGGAAGATTTTCGTCAGGTTGATCTTGCGGTCAGGCTTTTCGCTCTCGTACCTTAGGAAACCCAAATCTTCAACCCTAAACCCTAAACCCTAAACCCCAAACCCCAAACCCTAAACCCTAAACCCTAAACCCTAAACCCTAAACCCTAGCCCTAAACCCTAAACCCTAGCCCTCAAGCCCCAAGTGCCAGGTTTGGCCGGAACGGCTCTGGGTCGCGCCTACTGCGTGCCAGGCCCCGCATTTTTTGTTTTTAGGCTTTAGGGCTTGGGGTTTAGGGTTTAGGGTTTGGGGTTTAGGGTTTAGGGTTTCGGGTTTAGGGCTTCTGGCTTCTGGGGTCTTGATGTTCGGGTTTTTTTGGCTTCAGGACTTGGGGTGGGGTTTCAATATCAGCGTTTAGGGTTCAGGGCTTAGGGTTTAGGTCGCAGCGACCTGGATTTTATCTTTGTTTGGTTCTGCTTCATGGAAGCGAGTCTCAGGTTGAGATGTTCCTACGAAGGACCGTTAGTATAAGGGGGGAGCATCCCAAGTCTTAGGGCTTCACAAGGCTTTGTTAAACCCTAAACCCTAAACCCTAAGCCCTAAACCCTAAACCCTAAACCCTAAACCCTAAACCCTAAACCCTATGAGTGGCTCAGTGTTCCGGCATTCTCATGCATGTGTGAGTTGGGCAGGCAAGCTCGGTACATGGTTTAGGGGTCGGAAGAATTACTTCATATGATTCCCTTCTGGTCCCTATACAATATTCCTACTGTAAGAACCCCCCGGATCCCTGTTCTAATTGGTATAAGCCCCCCCCCCCCCCTATACTACATGAGCCCTACCACCCCAAACCCTATAATTTCACCCCAACCCTGAACCCTGACTCACCGTCCTCAAGAGATTCCCTTCTTCTTCACAACTAGGGCTCAGAGTAGACCCTCATTCCCTTTTTAAGGGGTTTGGGTTCCCCTTACAACCACGTTTAAACCAAAAAGCGCACCCTTTAATTTTAAGGTTCCTCTTGGGTCTAGAGACCCTGAACCCTGTTTTAAACCTTAAAACCCTAAAACCCTAAAACCCTAGAACCCTAGAACCCTAAAGCCCTAATGCCCTAAAACCCTAAAACCCAGACAATGAATTCCCGCTGACAGCGAGGTTGCCGTCGGGTGTTTTCAACGGCAGCCAAAGCTTGGCGACATGAAGCGCTTCGTGTCGCCAAAAGAAGCGGAATTCGGGTTAAGGGTTTAAGGGTTTAAGGGTTTAAGGGTTTAAGGGTTTAGGGGGAAGGGGGGGGGGGGGGGGGGGGGAGCGACTTAAGTGCTTTTTTCTCCCGCAACCCTAAACCCTAAACCCCAAACCCGAAACCGCCCACCCCCAAACCCCCATCAATCTTCAGAGGTGTCACAGGCAGGGCTTCGTGACTTTCAAGACTCTTTTCCTTTGTGGTACTTTACTGTAACTTTAGATCCTTACCTTTTTGGGGTTGATTGGGTTTCTTATTAAAGGCAGCTAAAAGTTTAATCTATAGCTACCCTCCTGAGTGCAGCCAAGTTTCAAGCATGGCTTTGGCGACTGAATTCGCCTGCTTCATCTTCGGGGGTGGGCGAGAGGAGGGAGGTCCTGAACCCTGAGCCCTAAGACCCTAAACCATGAACCTAAACCCTAAACCCTAAACCCTAAACCCTAAACCCTAAACCCTACACCCTACAACAGCTCATCGAAGCAAGGGCCCTAAACCCTAAGTCCTAAGTAAACCCTAAGCCCTTAAACCCTACAAAACACCCTTCTTCGCAAAGACAGCATCCCAACTACTATTTGCTTAAGCTTGCCGCCAGAAAAAATGGGTTTAGGGTTTAGGGTTTGGGGTTTAGGGTTTGGGGTTTGGGGTTTGGGGTTTAGGGTTTAGGGTTTAGGGTTTAGGGTTTAGGGTTTAGGGTTTAGGTTGACCTAGGGATTATTAGGGTTTAGGGTTTGGGGTTTAGGGTCTTAAGCAGATACTAGCTAAGGATGGCGCTTAGACATGCGCGCTGCCGATGTGTCTCTTGCTTTTACCACAGCTTCTGCCTTCCTAAGCCAGTAATGTGCGCCCTTAAACCCTAAACCCTGGGTTTAGGGTTTAGGGTTTAGGATTTAGGGTTTAGGGTTTAGGGTTTAGGGTTTTAGGTCTAGGGTTTCGGGGTGAAACCCTGAACCCCTAAACCCTAAACCCTGAAACCGTTAACCTAAACCCCTAAAGGCCCTAAACCCTCACGTTAGATCTCCTCAAGGAGGCAGAGGCAGTCTAGGATGCCCAGTAGTACCCTTCTTCCCTTTTTAGTAGGTTTAGGTTCCCTTATAAATCCCTTTTTAGTAGGTTTAGGTTCCCTTATAAACCCCTTTAAGCAAAAAAGGGGCACCCTTTTTCATCCTAGGTTACTGGGCAACCTAGCAGTAGAGTGGCACAGGGGCCTGGGTCTCGGGCTTCGAGCTGAGGGCTTAGGGCCCTGTAAACAATCAGGAGCGTGCCCCAAACCCTAAACCCTCAGCCCTAGTTAGTCTTCATCCCTAAACCCTAAACCCTAACCCCTCAAGGGTTTAGGATGGGGAAGATAGTCGCATTGTGGGGGCGTCCCCAGGGCTGTGGCCGTGCATGGACAATCATGCAAGTCTTTGGGTGTTTCTTATTCCCTAAACCCTAAACCCTAAACCCCAATCCCTAAACCCTCAGCCGTAACCCTAAACCCTAAACCAACCCATAAACTGTTTCTGAAACTCTAAAGCCTTTTGTTTTGCAAGTTTCTCACTAGGCTTGTACAAAGCGTGCTGTGACACGTTTGGCTTACTTGTGAGAGCTGTATGACCCGTCAGCACACCTAAACCCTGGGGTTGCGTTAGGGTTTAGGTTTAGGGTTTAGGGCTTAGGGCTTAGGGCGTAGGGTTTAGGGTTTAGGGTTTAGGGTTTAGGGACCCTGAACCCAGGTAGGGTTTGTTGTTGAGGGCTTTGCTCGACAGATAAATAGCTTTGGGGTCTGCCCTCACGAGCTTTGGTCTGCAAAGTTCGTCCTTCATGGGGTTCAGGGTTTAGGGTTTAGGGTTTAGGGTTTAGGGTTTCAGGTTGTGCAGCCATGGGAATCCTTTGCTCTGTCGAAGATGATGAGCAAGCGCAGGACTGTGTTCAGCTCTTGCTGTCTTTCTGAGCAGTGCCTGGAACCCTGAAACTAGGACCCAGAGTGGGCCCTTATTCCCTTTTTCTTTGGGCTTTGGCTCCCTCATATGCCCCTTTCTAAACCAAAATGGGCACCCTTTTTGTTCCTAGGTTACTCCTGGGTCTAGGAATTGGGGGTTGCAGCTTCCCAGTGGCATGGAGCAGTGGACTATAGAAGTCTTGGGCAAGAGGCGGGAAGTGCATCCGTAGTATTATGACAATGGGTTCAGAGACCCAGAGACCATATTGGCTGCGCAACGCCGCGATGCCCACAATGTTTCGGCTCAGGTGCTCTGTTCGGAACTGTACCCGTTCCATAGATAAGTGTTTCGCATCTCTTTGCCTTGCAATGCCGCTGACCAAGACTTTGGCGATGATGATTTTGTCCATTCTTGGGAGGGCCTTGTCCCATGAATCTTCAAGCTGCGTGGGTTGCAAGCATGACGAGATCATGCTCCTGCAGGTGGTGACTTGGGCAATACTTGGGAATATGTGTTGTTGTTTTTAAATGTTTGTGTGCTAAACCGCGTTCAGTATAGGTGAAGGAGCAGCAGGCGGACGTTGCTTCCCACGAGTACCACGCCCGGCGACATCGTCGCCACCGGCGTCCTCGTCGACGTGCTCGCAGGTCCCGCCGGTACGGACGCTATGGTTACTATGGTAGCTATGGTGCGAAGAGCACGACAAGCAGCAGCAGCAGCAGCAGCAGCAGCAGCAGCAGCAGCAGTAGCAGCAGCAGCAGCAGCACCACCACCACCACCACCACCAGCACCACCACAAGTGTGGTGTGCACTGGTGGCAATGCCAATGGAGGGCAAGGCCAGCAACTGGTCGAAAACCTCAGCCCCCCGCAAAACCCCATAACGATCGAGTCAGCTGTGACGAGCTCCGAGTGTCAGTGCGTGGGCGGCACTAGCGGTGATACACTTGTGCCCGGGTACTTGTCGGTTGTTTTGGGTTTCTTTGCAGATCCGGACGAGATCCGTTTCATCTCTGTCACCAGCCCTAACGGAACAGAGAAGAACTTGACAGCAGTACTCAACACCCCAAAGAATAATGCCGCTCTCGAAGCCGGAACTGTGGCCTTCAATGGGTTCTCAGCAATTGGTGGTTGGACTATCAAAGCGCTGGATGGCAGTGGCAACCTTGCCAGCCAAAACGCTTCCCTCGCAATCTTGCGGCTTGGCCTGCAGCCTTGCGATCGAATCTTGCCGGCTGCGGATTGCTTCGGCAACAACTTCGACGGGAAATTGGGGGTTTTCAACAATCAGTCACTGCTAGGTACCGCTCTTTCCTCTACCCCGACCGCTATGCAATTTCATGCAGACCTGCCTCCTGCTTGTTGTCTCCCTCTTTTCTCTACCTCGATCACCTTGCAATTCAGCAACAGTCCCGCCATTGGTGGTGTCGTAAGTGCTTCCGGTCGCAGCCCAGACCCAGGGGGTGCCAACTTCACTTTGGCTGGAAACGTCCAGCCCGACATCGGATTTCGCATCGTGATCATGGTGACCAACGAGCCGGACTTTGCTGGTAATCCGGCAGCGGGGCTTTGGAATTTCAATGTCTCCACGAATGGTTTTGTTGCAATCATTGGCAACGCTCTGCAGGATCCGCGCATGCAGCTCGCATTGGAGCCTTGCCCATAGGCCACAGAGATGCTGAGTTCATCTGCGGCAATTGGTTAGCATCCGCTTGGCCAACGCTGCCCGCGCGAAGACAGTTGCAAGACATGGTCGCTGGAAACTGTCCAGTTGCAATGACTATTGCTAGAGGACTGGCACGTAAACCCTAAGCCTAAACCCTTAACCCTAAACCGTGCAATTGGAGCGCGCCCTGTAGCTGGGGAGGGTTCGTGGCAAGTGCCTTCGGCGAAGTTGAGTCACGCAGGGGCCCCGAAGAACCCAAAGCAACTAAGTACGAATGCCAGATGGGTCTCCGATGTCATCCGAAACCAAACCCCAAACCCCAAACCCTAAGCCGAAAATCGACCCAAACCCTAAACCCTCGACCACAGACCCCAAAGGGCACCCCTCAAAATCGAAGATATTACCTTGTTTTCCCTAACCCTAGACCCTACACCCTAAACCCCTAAACCCCTACGTAAACCCCGAAGCCTAGTTGGAGACCGTGGGCTGCGTGCAAGAAACCCGAACAAGAACCTAAACCCTTGGGTTGAGGTTTTCTGGTTTCGGGTTTGGGGATTGGGGTTTGGGTAGAAGGACCCTCTGGGTATATACCCTAGGCGCTAAAAACTAAACCCTAAACCTTCCACCCTAAACCCTAAACACTAAACCCTAAACCCTAAACCCTACTAAACCCTAAACCCTAAACCCTAAACCCTAAACCCTAAACCCTAAACCCTAAACCCTAAACCCTAAACCCTAAACCCTAAACCCTAAACCCTAAACCCTAAACCCTAAACCCTAAACCCTAAACCCTAAACCCTAAACCCTAAACCCTAAACCCTAAACCCTAAACCCTAAACCCTAAACCCTAAACCCTAAACCCTAAACCCTAAACCCTAAACCCTAAACCCTAAACCCTAAACCCTAAACCCTAAACCCTATGTATGTATACAGTGACAAACGCAAGAAGCAACGAGCCATCCTAGCGGTTTAGGGTTTAGGGTTTAGGATTTAGGGTTTAAGGTTTAGGGTTTAAGGTTTAGGGTTTAGGGTATGCAACCCAAGGTTCCCTAATACTCCCCACTACTCCCTAAGGCTCCCTAGGCTTCCCATGAACCCCTCTCCCTTACGAACCCTAAACCCTCAACCCTAAACCCTAAACCCTATTGCACCTTTTAAGAACCCTATTGCACCAGGCCTTCACCTCCGGCTGTGGAGCCTCTCCTGCAAGATTGCAAGGAGCATTTGGGGCTTGGGGTTTGGGGGTTTGAGGGTTTTGGGGTTTTGGGTGTGGGGCTTGGGGTTTAGGGTTTGAGGGTTTGAGGGTTTTAGGGTTTGGGGTTGAGGGTTGAGGGTTGGAGGGTTTGAGGGTTTGAGGGTGTGGGGTTTGGGGTTTTTCTCGGCTTACAGTGGTAGGTTTACGGTTTATAGTGTTCAGGGGTGAGTCCAACTGGGTTGACACCCCAAGCCCAAAACTGCCCTAGAACCCCGCTGGGGTTTAGGGTTCGGGGTTCGGGGTTTGCGGGTCAGGTTTTTCCTTAAACCCCAAACCCTAAACCCTAAACCCTAAACCCTAAACCCTATAGAAGTAGGTTCATCTCCCTCGACAGCGAGGGCGCCTTAGGCTCACCGAAAGATCCGGTTGCTTGCCCAGGGCGAGGGATTTCAGGGTTTAGGGTTTAGGGTTTCGGGTTTAGGGTGTTGGGGTTCTATCTGGGGGTTTCCGAATTTCGGCAAACCCTGTCAGTGTCTGAGGTTGCACTGCTGTTGGCGGAAGACCGTGCGCTCGCACGTGCAAGCTGAAAACAGATTGGCGAGCGATTTAGGAAGTCCACGTTGACCCCTAAACCCTAAACCCTAAACCCTAAACCTTAAACCTTAAACCCTAAACTGAAGACCGGCCCCCTTTCCAGCGATAGGGGCCAGTCGTTAGCAGGCCACTGGCAGGGGCCTGCGGACCCGTAGGCGAAGGCCGAAAGGCGAGCCGTAGGGTCCTAGACCTAAGGTCCACGCGGCACTCGAATAGGCCGCCACGCGGCACTCGAATAGGCCGCTTCTGTCAGCCTATCTAAAGATAGCCCTAAACCCTGGTGCAAACGACCGGCGAGGCCTGAAAACCTCCCCTGAATTCATTCAGGCCCAGAGGCTTAAATTAAGGCCCGGAGGCTTAAATTAAGGGCTTTGGGAACCTAAAATTAAGGCCCGGAGGCTTAAATTTAGGGTTTGGGAACCTGACATTAAGGCCCGGGGGCTTAAATTCAGGCGAACCCAAAATTAAGGCCTGGAGGCTTAAATTAAACCTAAAATGGAGGCCCGGAGGGTTTGGGACCTTAAACATCAGGCCCGGAAGCTTAAATTAAGGGTTTGGGAACCTAAAATTAAGGCCCGGAAGCTTAAACTGTCGGTTTAGAACCTAAAATTAAGGCCTGGAGGCTTAAATTAAGAGTATAGGAACCTGAAATTCAGGCCTGGAGGCTTAAATTCAGTGTTTGGAACCAAAAATTGAAGCCCGGCGGCTTAAATTAAGGGTTTGCGAAGTTAAAATTAAGGCTTAAAATAAGGGTTTGGGAACTTAAAATAAGGCCCGGAGGCTTAGAGTAAGGGTTTGGGAACCTAAAAGTTAAGGCCCGGAGGCATAAATCAAGGGTTGGGGAACCTAAAATTAAGGCCCGGAGGCTTACATTAAGGGTTTGGGAACCTAAAATTAGGGCCCGGAGGCTTCAATTAAGGGTTTGAACATGCTTTAAAGTTTGCTGAGACCACGGAGGGGAATCACGTCGAGCCTGCTGCTTTTGCCGTCGCCAATCCTGAAAGGGCTTGACAAGTCTTCGAGGGACCACGGAGTGGAATCGAGCTCTTGCTGGAGCCATATCTTCTCATGATTTCACGATTTTGTCACGGCTGCTAAGAGACTGCTTCTGCTCCACCGAGCCATATATCCCCCCTTGATAGGGGGGTAGGGGGGTATACAACCCTAAACCCGTCCAAGGTTTGTATTTTGGGTGGGAGGGGGGGCATTGCAGCTCATGCGCCGACCCCCAACCACTTCATGGAGGGGGTCGAAGCGCACTCGCAGCGAAAAACCCTAAGCCCTAAACCGCAAACTCCAGGTTTCATTTGGGTTTAGGCTGCAGGTTTATGGGTTTATGGGGGATTACAGGGTTGAATAGGGTTTCTATGAGCCAGCAAGGACCCCCTCTGTGGTCCCTCCCGCCTTTGTAGGGTTTAGGGTTTAGGGTTGAAGTTTGAGGTTTATAGGGTTCAGGGTTTACAATTCAGCGTTTAGGGTTTATGGTCCCCTCCCCCTATTGGTCCCCCACCCCCCTCCCGTGTAGGGTTTAGGGTAAGGGTTTAGGGTTTAAGGTTTAGAGCCTAAAGTTTAGGGTTTAGAGTTTGAGGGTTACGGGTTTAGGGTTTCAGGGTTTTAGGGTTTAGGATTTAGGGGGTTTCGGGTTCAGGGTTTAGGGTTTAGGGTTTAGGGTCGACTGCGGGGGGGGGGGGGAGGGTAGAGAACTCGGAACGCGGGCGCATATATGGTTTTTAGGGCTTACAGGGCTTATCAGGCATATAGGGCTTATAGGGCTTATAGGGCTTATAGGGTTTATAGGGTTGAAAGGTTTATAGGTTTTGAAGGGGTTATAGGGTTTAGGATTTATAGGTAATATTGTGTTTAGGGTTTATAGAGTTTAGAGGGTTTAAAAAGTTTAGGGATGCTTGGGTTCTAGCACGGGTTGAAGGTTTAGGCGCCCACAGTCCTTATGGTCGAGAGCTGTGGGCAAGGCTGTTGAGGCCCTTTGCCACGCTAACTTCCCTAAACAATAGATCCTAAACCGTAAACCCTAAACCCTAAACCCTAAACCCTAAACCCTAAACCCTAAACCCTCGCTTTCTGCTGCTTACCAGCTTGCTGCATGACAGCTTCGGCGTACTTGCGAACCTGAAAGGCGACCGAACCCACAATTTTCGGCTTTGTGAGGTTGAGGGGATGGCCCCTTCCAGGTATAGGGTTTAGGGTTTATAGGGTTTAGGGTTCATAAGGGTTTAGGGTTTAGGTTTTAGGGTTTAGGGTTTAGGGTTCATAAGGGTTTAGGGTTTAGCGCAATGCCCGCGTGCCCCAGACGAGCCATCAACAAAAACTGCCGAGCGACCCTTGCCAAGTTTCCGGTAACGAGGGCCTCACGCTTGCCGGGAAGGGTTTAGGGTTTAGGGTTTAGGGTTTAGGTTTTAGGTTTTAGGGTTTAGGGTTTAGGGTTTAGGGTTAGGGTTTAGGGTTTAGGGTTTAGGGTTTAGGGTTTAGTTTTTAGGGTTTACGGTCTAGGGTCTAGGGTTTAGGGCTTAGGGCTTAGGGCTTAGGGTTTAGGGTAAAAGGTTAGGTCTGCAAAGTGTAGTATTTGTCGCTTGGCGCAGCCATGGGGAATCTCTTCTCCGTCGAAGAAGATGAACAAGCAGGACTGAGTTTAGGGTTGTGGGTTTGGGGTTGAGGATGGTTGAGAGTACAGGTTCTTGCAATATTTCTGGGCAGTGCCTTGCAAAGCAACTTAACTAAACCTACAATTCGAAATCTGGATCATCCGCCACATTTCATGCTCACAACCCCCAGTTGTAGCTACCCGTGAACCTCCAAGTAGGCATATACTGTGCAGCGGCCTAGAAAACAAGGCTAGCAATGACCCCAAACAAGGTAACCCTATTATCGTAAACCCCCAAATGTGTTTTTGGGCAGCTGTAGCCACAATGGTGCTGGAAGTGGACCACTTTAGAGTTCAGGGCTTTGGGTTTTGGATTTTGTGTTTAAGGTTCAGGGCTTTGGGTTTAGGATTTAGGGTTTAGGGTCTAGGGTTTAGCTACTTGCCTAGGCAGCCTGCTTTGGACTTCTCTCTGGAGTTGCGACTGTTACTTTGCAGGCGGGTGGTGACGCCTAAACCATGAACCCCTAAACCCCTAAACCCCTTAACCCCTTAACCCCTTGCAGCCCTAAACCTCGAATTCTTAAACCCCTAAACCCCTAGACCCCTAGACCC